GAGGATGTTCCAGATGCGGCCGCGGTAGAAGAGCTGGATGACGGTGGCGATGAGGAAGAAGGGGAAGAAGCCGGTCACCACCGACTCGTAGGTCATCCAGAGGTGGTGCTTGTGGAACCACAGGGCGTTGTAGAGCCACTCGCGGAAGTAGGACTTGCTCCAGCGGGTCTGCTGGTTGAGCCAGCGGAGGTAGCGGGTGGGCGTCTCTGTCAGGCACTTGGAGCGAGCCGTGTACTTGGTCTGGTAGCCCAGGCTGAGCACGCGGTTGGTGAGATGCCGGTCATCCCCGAAGCTGCACTTGCTGCCCAGGAAGGTCTGGTGGTACCAGTCCTCGAGGAACTGCTGCAGCAGGGCATTGCGGTACATGCCCAGGGGCCCGCTGATGCACTGCACGCAGCCGAAGTAGGACTGGCAGGCGCGCTCCACGTTGAAGGCCATCCAGTACCGCACGCTGCTCAGGAAGGAGATCCACGAGTCGTACTTGTTCAGGATCTGCGGAGAGGACGAAGATGAGCCCCGGCACCGCTGCAAACCCCCCTGGCACCCTCGCCGCCCCGGGGCGCCTTCCTTCACAGCCAGAGTACCTGGACGTCGCCGCCGACGCCGCCAACGCGGGGGTCGGCCTCCAGGATGCGGAGCATCTCGGCGGTGCAGGCGGGGTCCAGCACCGTGTCTGAGTCACACACCTGGGGGCAGAGGGAACATCGAGCCCCGCTCCCGCCGCCCACGCGCGCCTGGCAGACAGCCCAGCCCGCAGCCGGGCAAGCCCGAGCCGCGGCCGGCGAGATGAGGCAGAGCTCCGGAGACCGGCAGGCGGTGGCAGGGAGCGGAGCGCCCCACGGTGCCCAGCCACCGCTGCCCCGGGCCACCCAGCCCTGCCACATGCCCCGGCCGCTGGCACCACGGTGGGACCTGCCCCAGCCACCACCCCTCACCCACGCGTGGGGGCTCGGCACCCCGCACCGTGACACACGGTGTCCCATGGGATGACACCAGCCTGAGGCGCGTCCTGCCCGTGCCACAGGGGATGCGCCGAGGAGGTGATGTGAAACCCTCGCGGGCAGCGGTGCGGGCAGGGCTCAACCCCCCAGGCCACCCCGGTGGCAATTCACCCCCAACCCCGGGCGCCGGTGGCTTGCAGCTGGGGCATGGGGCTGGATCCAAGGCCAGGCAGCCGGGTGCTGCCGCGGGCTCGTGGGGCTGCTCCTGCTCCACCCGCAGCCCCTCTGCCCGGCCGTGCGAGCAGGGCACTCCCTGCCTGCCTCCCCCCAGCCCTCCCAGCCCATGCATCCACCTGGATGTAGTCCACGGAGTCTCCGAGCGCCCGGAAGGCCGTGTACATCACCTCCCGCTTCCCGCCCCACTTCTGGAGGATGCAGGAGTAGGTGGTGCCGCGCACCAGCGCCTGGACACGGGCCAGCCCTTCCCGCAGCCCGGCCTCCGTCTCCCCCTCGCCCCGTGCGTGGAAGTTGCTCCTCCAGACGTAGCTGCCCGAGTGCTCGGAGCCCATCACGTCGTGGAAGATGTCCAGCATGTAGGTGTCGTCGGGGCCGTTCCCGTCCACCACCATCACCACTTTGAGGTCGGGGAAGGCGATGCGCTTGACAGAGTGCAGGCACTTCTTCAGGTAGTCGGGATCCTCCTGGTAGGCGGCGATGCAGAGGGCCACCGAGCGCCCCAGCCGCACCGGCTGGGGCCCGCCCCCCCCGCGCC